CACTTCCTCAACTTCGCCCTCCTGCAGGAGGGGGAGGTTTACTCTGCGGACCGGGAGGACCTCTATGCCTAGCTGTTTCCCTGCCTCCAGCTTCAGCCTCCTGAGGCCGGAGCCTCAGCCCCTCCAGACAGGCCGCTGACATTCAGCAGCTTGGCCTCTCCCTCTGTCTGTGCTTGTTGTGTTGTTGACCTCCTGATGGCTTGTCATCCTGAATAAAATATAATAATAAATTTTGTATAAATAGGAGTTCAGGGGCTGTTTGTTTTTTTTCCCCCCGAACCCAAATTCTGGATTTAGGTCTAACAGGAGAAGGAAACAGCCAAAGTTAACAGGGCTCCTGCCTCATGCAGCCTGCGCCGCCTCCAAGCCAGCCCCAGGTATGACTGGACTGGAGCGGTTTACAGCAAGATGCTGGGCTCGCTGTGAAGGGGGAGTATGAGGCCACCTTCCTATTCAGGGCTTTGGGGTAGATAGCCCCTGGACTCAGTGGAGACCTGAGGCGGGGCTGGGCTTTCACACTCCGCTGCCTTGACCACATTTGCTGCTTTCTCTACAAAACAGTACTTGGAAGCCCTCGCCTCCTTTCCACAGTTCTGGGAGCAGTTGACCTTTCCCGGTCTAGGAACTCTGGCTTGCGCTGAGCGGCTGTGGTGTCCAGCCCAGCCCTTTAAGCTTTCTGTGTCACTCCTGGTCAGGAAAACAAGCACACAGGCAGACAGCTGGTGTACAGCCGGGCGGAGGCCAGTGACTGGCTGCCTACCTGTCACCTCTCGCCTGGAGTGCCCCGCTGCCAAGTTGGCCCCATGACTCCACACACGGGGCGGAGCCTGGACTGGGCCTGTGGGGAGGGCTCCACTAAAGTGACCACTTGCAGCCCTGAGCCTCAGCTCTTGGACGTCTGGCTGGAAGTTGGCTGTCCTGTTTCCTGTGACCTTGGGCATGGAAGGGACAGGGCCCAGGGGACCTAGGACACTATCTCCCTTCCCCACGCCTTCTCCCTCGTTCCTCCCCACCCTTCTCGCTTCTACCCCGCCCACACAGCCCTAAAGGCTTCCTGGGGCGGAACTGTTTGGCTTTTCCCCGTCTCAGTTGAGGGTGGAGGGGTCGCAGCCCTAAGCCTTTGGGGGACATGGAGCCCAGAAGGGCAGTGGCGCCTGGCTGGGGGTCTCGGGAGACCGCGGGGTCGGGAACGGCCGCGGAGCTTGTGTACCATCTAGCCGGGGCCCTGGGCACTGAGCTGCAGGAGCTGGCGCGCCGTTTCGGGCCGGAGGCGGCGGCAGGGCTGGTGCCGCTAGTGGTGCGGGCGCTGGAGCTCTTGGAACAGGCTGCCGTGGGGCCCGCCCCAGACTCGGTGAGTCACGGCGCTCCCCTCGCCACCCGCGGGGCCGGCAGGGCCGAAGCCTGAGACCCGGGTCTCCCCAGCTGCAGGTGTCGGCGCAGCAGGCGGAGCAGGAGCTGCGGCGGCTGCGGGAGGAGAACGAGCGCCTCCGCAGGGAGCTGCGCGCGGGGCCACAGGGTGAGCCCAGCTCCGGCCAGGGCAGGGCGGGTGGCGACCGGCTCGGGTCCTCCTCTCCCTCCCGCGGGCCTACGTGCCGCCGCTAAGAACGCCCCTTCCTCAGAGGAGCGCACGCTGCTGCGGCAGCTCAAGGAGGTGACGGACCGACAGCGGGACGAACTCCGTGCGCACAACCGCGACCTGCGGCAGCGAGGCCAGGAGACCGAGGCGGTGAGGGCAAGATGTGGGCGGGGCGGGGGCTCCGGGGGCGGAGCGGGGGGCGGAGCGAGGCAGGCACGGGGCGGGGCTCCGCGGGCCCTCGGTGCCCCGCCCACCCCACCGTTTGCTCCGCTCCCAGTTGCAGGAGCAGCTGCAGCGCCTCCTGCTGGTGAATGCTGAGCTGCGGCACAAACTGGCGGCCGTGCAGATCCAGCTGCGCGCCGCGCAGGACCGCGAGAGGGAGCGCCAGCAGCTTGGCGAAGCCGCGACCCCGCCAGCTAAAGAGGGAGCGCAGGGGCAGGCCGGGGCTCCCGGGCACCAGCACGTGCAGGAGCCCGAATGGATGACCGCCGGCGCAGGCGCATCTGAGGACCCGGTGAGTGCCGCATGAGGGCAAGGACCCAGCCCAGGACTCAGCGTCCAGCGCTCGGTGGGCGCTCGGGCAAGGTTTGCATGCTGCACAGCAGGTCTGCCAGGAAGCCGGGAGGTGGCAGACAGATCTGTGCCCCCGGCCGGCCTCGGCCCCTGCTCTCAGCAGGAGCACTGCTCTGTTATCTGTTGGGGCACCCTTGTCCCCCAAGTCTCCCTGCCTGTCACTTCCTCTAGCATTCCCATGATGGCCCTGGAGCAGGTGGAGGGAACGCCAGCGGAGGCGACCCTCTGACCATGCCTGTCCTTCCAAAGGCGGAGGCTGCGCAGCAGCTGGGGCGCCCCTCGGAGGCAGGGCAGTGCTTCAGTCGGGAGGAGTTTGAGCAGATCCTTCAGGAGCGGAATGAACTCAAAGCCAAAGTGTTCCTGCTCAAGGAGGAGCTGGCCTACTTCCAGCGGTGAGAGCGCTGGGAAGCCGGGGGGCCTACGATCACCCCACCTCATTCTCCAGTCATTGACATGTCCACAGTGACATGTGCCAGGCCTGCCCTGGGAACTGGGAGGACATGAATTGCACAGCCCCTTCTCTCTGCAATATCATCCAGACAGGGGAGAGGGATAGTGCAAAGGGTCGCAGCTGCAGCAGCCAGGGAAACTCTCCTAGAGGGGCCATGGGGCCACCTAAGCTCAGGTCTGAGGGTGTCAGCAAGGCAGAACGCTTCAGGTGTTCAGGGAGGAGCCGTATGCACAGGTACCAGGAGTGAGGCCTGCGGCTGGCATCCCCATGGCTGGCATCCCCACAGCTTTCTCCCTTCCTGCCCTCTTCTGTAGGGAGCTGCTCACAGACCACCGGGTCCCCGGCCTTCTGCTTGAGGCCATGAAGGTGGCTGTCCGGAAGCAGCGGAAGAAAATCAAGGCCAAGATGTTAGGGACACCAGAGGAAGCAGAGAGCAGGTAGGTCCCTGCCTGCATTCCCACTGAGCCAGGCCTCCCTCCCTCATTCTGCTGAGCCTGATGACTCAGCCTGGGCACCCTCTGAGTCCATTGTCTCAGACTGAGGCTATCACCCCAACCTGGTCACCCCTTGAGCCTCCCTAGCCTGGCCGCTTCTAGGACCTGCTGACCTGGTCTGGTTGTGTCCCGTGGCCACTGTCCGGCCTGGGCTCTTCTCCCTGGATTTCACCATTCCCCTTACCTTTCCTGCCGTCCATTCTGCCAGTGCTACCTCTCCACATTCATTCTTCAGGTTCCTGCCTTGGCTGGGTCTGTTTGTTCTTACGGGGGTGAAACGGTAGCCGCGGCTGTGTCAGGGCCTGCTGTGTGTCAAGCTATAAAATAAAGCCTCGGCCGGGCGCGGTGGCTCACGCCTGTAATCCCAGCACTTTGAGAGGCTGAGGTAGGCAGATCACCTGAGGTCAGGAATTCGAGACCAGCCTGGACAACATGGTGAAACCTTGTCTCTACTAAAAATACAAAAATTAGCCGGGCGTGGTGGCAGGTGCCTGTAATCCCAGCTACTCAGGAGGCTGAGGCAGGAGAATCACTTGAACCTGGGAGGCAGAGGTTGCAGGGAGCTGAGATCGCGCCATTGTACTCCAGCCTGTGACAGAGTGAGACTCTGTCTAAAAATAAAAAATAAAAATTAAAGCCCCAACATGCTGCATCTCCCCAGGGTTGCCTTCTCTCCAGCCCCGGGGGCCCTGCAGTCCCTCCTTCCCCCCTGCTGGATTCCTGTTGTCCCTCAGGGCCTTGATCAATGACCCTCATGTCTCCTCTCTCCTCTGTCTCAGTGACGATGAGGATGGCTCATGGCTCCTGCTCTCCGATGATAAGGGAGACCATCCCCCACCCCCGGAGTCCAAAATACAGAGTTTGTATGTTGGGGGAAGGGGAAGGACAAGAATATGGGGAGGGAGGAAGGGCCCTGGATGGTTCTTCTCAGGATCCCCTTTCCTGCTTCTCTGCCTGTCACCCTGCTGTCCTTGGCTCTAAGCACATCCTCCCCTCCTGCTTCTCTGGCCCAGGCCCCCATCACCTTCCCACTCCCTCAGACTGCCCTTTCTTCCCCCTCTCCCCTTTTCTCACCACCCCCTGCCCTCATCCATATCCTTGACCTCTCTGGCTTCCTGGCTGAAAGTACTTCCGGCTGTCTCTCTCCAGCTTTGGCCTATGGTATCGGGGTAAAGCCGAATCCCCTGAGGATGAGACCGACAGCCCCGCACCCAGCAAGCTAGGGGGAGAAGAGGAGGCCCAACCACAGTCCCCAGCTCCTGATCTGCCCTGTTCTGCCCTCCACGAACACCTTTGTCTGGGGGCCTCAGCCACCCCGGAGGCCTGACTTAGGGGTCTAGCTGTGGATGGATGTGTGGCCTCAAATGAGGACAGGGCTCCCGCCTTCGCAGCCCTCACCAGGGGTCTGCCCCAATCCTGGCCTGTACCAGGGCAGGATGGGGGCTCAGCCCACCTCCCTCTCTACGTCTCTGTACCAAGCCTCTGGGGCCAGATATAAGAGTGCCTCTCTGAGTCTCAGTTTCCCCATCCACGAAATGAGAGCTGACTGCCTAGCTCCCAGGGCTTTGTGCAGACAGCCTGAGCTCATGTAATAAAGAACTGCCCGGCCGGGCGCGGTGGCTCAAGCCTGTAATTCCAGCACTTTGGGAGGCCGAGACGGGCGGATCAGGAGGTCAGGAGATCGAGACCATCCTGGCTAACACGGTGAAACCCCGTCTCTACTAAAAAATACAAAAAACTAGCCGGGCGAGGTGGCGGGCGCCTGTAGTCCCAGCTACTCGGGAGGCTGAGGCAGGAGAATGGCGGGAACCCGGGAGGCGGAGCTTGCAGTGAGCTGAGATCCGGCCACAGCACTCCAGCCTGGGCGACAGAGCGAGACTCTGTCTCAAAAAAAAAAAAATAATAAATAAAGAACTGCCCGTAATATGCAGAAACTGTTCCTCGCCTGTCTGTCCATGTCTGTCCCGCCTCCCAACCCTGCCAGGAGCAGAGGCAGGCTGAGGGGTCCTCGTGGGTCTCCTTGCTCAGTCACTTAGAGCGGGGTTGGCTTCTTGAAGCTCGGGCCTTGCTTTGGGAGTGTGGCTTGATGGAAAGCCCTGACTCCCACCCTCACTCCACCCGCTTCCCTGGCCCCGGCACCCAGAGACCTGCAACTTCATCCTTCTGGCCCTTCCAGGCCGAGGCCACTCAGCCCTGCCATTGCCTTCTTTTTCCTTTCTTTTTTTGAGTGTCAGTCTTTCCAGCCACCCCCTCCCTCTCAGGGAGGTGCCTCATGGCAGCCCGCCCCTCCGGCCTGGTTTCCTCAGGAAAAGCCCTGAGAGGAAGCAAGGAGGGGGTTGGGAGCTGTGGGGGCCAGATGAACCCGAGCCCTCCCACCGCGCCGGCTGCCATGGGGCTGGGACTGCTGCTCCCGCTGCTGCTGCTCTGGACTCGGGGGACTCAGGGGTCTGAGCTGGACCCCAATGGGCAGCACGTCTGTGTGGCCAGCAGGTGGGTCTCGTGGGAGTCTGATGGCGGGTGGTTGAACCGGTGTTGAGGCCTTTAGGGGAAGGAGGAGACTAGGAAGGGGGCTTGGGCTGGAAGGAAGGGCTGCTGATGGCAGCCTGGCAGGTAGTGGCTAGCCAGGGCAGATGGTGGAAGGGCCAGGGAAGGAGAGGGGAGGGGCTGGGGACCCGAGCCGTAAAGATCTGCTAGGCCTCCCTAGCTAAGGCTAAACCAGCCTCCTCCACCTCAGCCAGAGACAGTGATCCACCTTGCTCGGGGCTAAGCTGCACCCCCCGCCTTGTCCAGCTGACCCCTTTTTGCCTCACAGCCCCTCTGCTGAGCTGCAGTGCTGCGCAGGCTGGAGGCAGAAGGATCAAGAATGCACCATCCGTGAGTAGCCGGACAGACCCTCAGCCAAGGAGAAGGGAAGCCGTAGCCCAGCGATAGCCCTTCCTTCCTACCCTCCCGGGCCTGCCCTTCCTGACACCAGGAGCCAGGGTTTCTCCTGTGACACCCCCCAGGCCTGAAGGGGCACCTCTTGAGGAGGCATGGCCCCAGGAGCCAGTGAGAGGGCAGGGGTGTCCCCTGGTCCTGCTCCTGTCTTTCCAACCTGGGTGGGGTGTCTTTCAGCCATCTGTGAGGGGCCGGATGCCTGCCAGAAAGATGAGGTGTGTGTGAAGCCAGGCCTCTGTCGATGCAAACCTGGATTCTTTGGGGCCTACTGCAGCTCCCGTGAGTCTCAAGGGCTGGATGAAGTTGCTGGGCAGAGCTGGGTATGGGGACAGTGGTGTGGGGGCGGGCAAGGCAGGTAGCCATGTAGCCTCAGGACAGCAGGGCCAGGATCCCTCCCAGCTTCACTGAGGAATCGCGGTCCAGAGACAGGAAGTGACACACACTCCTAGGAGATGGCCTGAGTCACTGGGTTTTCACCCATATCCACAAAGCCCTGCCCACCTGCGCATCTTCCTCTTCCACTTCTCAGAAAACCTGTGATTCCCGTTCATTGCAAAATGAGTATATTCCTTCTCTTTCCCACATACGCCTTATACATGGGCAGTGGATGGAAGGAGGCCCCCCGCTCGGCTGTCTGCCCTTTCTGGCAGAAAGAGAGGGAAGGGAAAGGGGTTGGGAAGCCAGAGGATGAGCACCAGGAATCAAGGAATCACTAGGGGAAAGGTGGCTTAACCTGCACCCTGGCGGGCAGCATCCAGCACTGAGATCGGGAGGAAGTTCTCTCTGCTCCAGCCCAGCAGGGATCCACCTCAGCAGGGAGGAGCAGCCATGGAGGAAGGCCCACCCACCTCGGTGCCGCACTCTGGGCAAGTCCACTGCCCACTCAGGATCTCTGAGTGTGTTCTGAATGTGAAATGGGAGGCTAGGCCTCCCACTAATGGCTAAGGGTTTTCTGTAGGTCAGAGCGGAGCAGGAATGAGTGTTGCCCAGGACAGGCTGCCGGATGTTCCGAGGGTCTGTCCCCGGCTCTTGGAGGATGGGCCCCGTGCCCCTTTTCCTTGCGTAAGGGGACGCAGGGTAAGGGTCCGCGCGCGGCCCTGAGCCCGCTGACCCCTCCCGTACCCATCCCTGCAGGCTGCCCGGGCCAGTACTGGGGCCCCGACTGCCGTGAGAACTGCCCCTGCCACCCTCACGGCCAGTGTGAGCCAGCCACGGGCGCGTGCCAGTGCCAGGCCCACCGCTGGGGCGCCCACTGCGAGTTCTCGTGCACCTGCGGCCCCCACGGGCGCTGCGACCCCGCGACCGGCGTGTGCCGCTGCGAGCCGGGCTGGTGGTCGCCCACGTGCCACCGCCCGTGCCAGTGCAAGCCCGAGGCGGCGCGCTGCGAGCAGGCCACGGGCGCCTGCGTGTGCAAGCCGGGCTGGTGGGGGCGCCGCTGCAGTTTCCGCTGCAGCTGCCACGGCTCCCCGTGCGACCAGGACTCGGGCCGCTGCGCCTGCCGGCCGGGCTGGTGGGGTCCCGAGTGCCGGCAGCAGTGCGAGTGTGTGCGGGGCCGCTGCAGTGCCGCCTCCGGCCAGTGCACCTGCCCGCCCGGCTTCCGCGGAGCGCGCTGCGAGCTGCCTTGCCCAGCTGGTAGCCACGGGGTGCAGTGCGCACACAGGTGAGCGGGCGGGGCGGAGCGGGTGAGTGGGCGGGGCGGGGACGGGGGCGGGGCGGGGCGGGGCGGGGCGCACACAGGTGAGCGGGCGGGGCGGAGCGGGTGAGTGGGCGGGGCGCGGGCGGGGCGGGGGCGGGGTGCACACAGGTGGGCGGGGCGGAGTCAGGTGGCCGGGGCCGGGCGCCGGGAGGAGGGATCAGGGCTTTGCGGTGCTCCCCTCAAAAAACGTACGAAGCAGAGGGACGAGAAAGGGGAAAAGAGGTCTAGGCGCGGTGGTTCACACCTGTAATCCCAGCACTTCTGAGAGGCTGAGGCGGGCGCATCACCTGAGGTCAGGAGTTTGAGACCATCCTAGCCAACATGGTGATACCTCGTCTCTACTAAAAACACAAAAATTAGCCTGGCCACGCCTGTAGTCCCAGGTACTCGGTAGGCTGAGGCAGGAGAATCGCTTGAGCCGGGGAGGCGGAGGTTGTAGTGAGCCGAGGTCGCACCACTGCACTCCACCGGGTATGAGACTCCCTCTCAAACAAAACGAAACAAGAACTTTAAAAACCCTTTGTTACCCAGGTCCAGCCCCGCCTGCTCATTTCATCATTTACTGCTGTGCAAAAAATTGCTATACTAGCACTGCTAGCAAGCCATATGTATAGATGAGTGGATAGAGTGACCAAAGGTCCTGGGCAAGGTCCCTTTAGGACTCAGTGACTTTCAAACTTTGACCAGCTGCACTCACCATAAGAAATTTCACCCCTGGATGGGCGCAGTGGCTCACACCGGTAATCCCAGCACTTTGGGAGGCTGAGGCGGGCGGATCACCTGAGGTCAGGAGTTTGAGACCAGACTGACCAACCTGGTGAAACTCCATCTCTACTAAAAATACAAAAATTAGCCGGGCGTGGTGGTGGGCGCCTGTAATCCCAGCTACTTGGGAGGCTGAGGCAGGAGAATCACTTGAACTCGGGAGGAGAAGGTTGCAGTGAGCCGAGATCACACCATCACACTCCAGCCTGGGTGACACAGCGAGACTCCATCTCAAAGAAAATAATAATAAAATAAAATAAAAATAAAAATGCTGGTCCAGATCAGCTAAATGGCTTTTATAAACTCCCCTTCTTCTCCCCTACTAATGGATCTGACCCAAGTATATGATCCCAGATAGTTGAGCATCTGAGGGAGAAACTTCAAGTAACTGTTAAGCATCAATGGGAAACTAAGATATGGCAAATGTGAAATTATATTGGTGACAACAGTGGTCTCCAACCTTTTGGCACCAGGAACAGGTTTCGTGGCAATTTTTCTATTATCATACTGTAATCTATAATGAAATAATTATATGACTCACTATAATATAGAATCAGTGGCAGCCCTGAGCTTATTCTCCCACAGCTAGATGGTCCCATCTGGGGATGATGGGAGACAGTGACAGATTATCAGGCATTAGATCCTCATAAAGAGCGTGGAACCAGGACCCTGCCGTGATCAGTTCACAATAGGATTGGCGCTCCTATGAGAACCTAAGGCTGCCACTGATCTGGCTGGCAGCAGAGTTCAGGCGGTCAGGCTCCCCCGCTGCTCATCTCTATGCTGCTGCCTGGTTCCTAACAGGCCATGGACTAGTACCAGTCCATGGCCCAGGGTTTGGGGACCCCTGGGTGAAAACACTTTACATTTTTTTATTTCATGTGATGGAGTAGAAGACACTACTGAGTTCCATTCATGCCAGACCTCAGGGTCGCTCAGTGTGAAAGGAAGAAAAGGGAAAGGGCAGGAGGGAAGACCTGGCAGACCTGGCAGATGGGACTCAGAGCTTGGTGGTGACGTGGCTGCCCTGGCTGGGCTGCTGCCTCCTGCTGACCCTGGGACCCAGGGAAAGATGGTCACAGAGTAGACGCTTCGAAGGAAAGGGATGGGATCCTCCTGTAAGAGCCCTCATTTGTCTTCATTGTACAACGTGGGGAAACTGAGGCGCAAACCTGCCTGAGTGACCCAGGTGGGACCCGAACGCTCTCCAGGGCCCCCGAAGGCCTGCGTGGAGTACAGGGGTTGGAAGGGGTGGGCGCTCCATCCATCCACCCCCACTGCTCCCACAAAGCCCTTCTCTTCCCAGCTGTGGCCACTGCAAGCACAATGAGCCGTGCTCTCCAGACACAGGGAGCTGTGAGTCCTGCGAGCCGGGCTGGAACGGAACCCAGTGCCAACAGCCCTGCCTGCCTGGCACCTTTGGCGAGAGCTGCGGACAGCAGTGCTCTCACTGCCGACGTGGGGAGGTCTGTCAGCCAGATACTGGCCACTGTCAGCGCTGTGACCCTGGCTGGCTGGGGCCCAGGTGAGCGCACCATTCTGTTCAGGGTGGGGTGCACCTCCCCCCAGGACCCTCACCTCAGCGGCTCTCTCTGAGAGCACCACCCCTCCCTGACACACAGGTTCATGCAGTCCCAGGGGCCTCCCTCCTGTTGAAGAGTTGGGGACAGCAATGAGTTCTGGGGGTACCTGGACAGGATCCCAGCTCCCTCCCCTCTGAGGCTTCCTGCCCTCCTCCCGCTCTGGGGACTTGTAGTCTGTCAGCTGCTGGATTCGGCCCCAAGTTCAAGGCCCTATTTACACCTGAGCTTCACTGCTAAGGCGTGGCCAGTTGGGTCCTTGAGTCCAGGAGCCTGGAGTGGACAGGTGGGGCCCCACGGTGGGGGCCAGGCCTGCCTTTCTCTCCCCTTCCCCGAGTCTTGCCTCACCCCAGGTGTGAAGACCCCTGCCCCACTGGCACCTTTGGGGAAGACTGCGGCTCCACCTGCCCCACCTGTGTTCAGGGGGCCTGTGACGCTGTGACAGGGGAATGTGTCTGCAGTGCCGGCTACTGGGGGCCCAGGTGAGGATGGGGGTCCTGGGGGCAGGAGAGTACCAGGGGCCTAGGTCAGGCCTCTGTGCAGCGTTTCCTCAACTTGCCTGGACAGTGCCCGGAAATCTCCCTCCCTGTCTCCTGCCTGTCCCTCCCTTCACGCGCCCTCAGCCCGCCTCTCCATGTCACTCCACAGCTGCAACACCTCCTGCCCGGCCGGCTTCCATGGAAACAACTGCTCAGTTCCCTGTGAATGCCCAGAGGGACCCTGCCACCCTGTCTCCGGGTCCTGCCAGCCGGGTAAGGTGGAAGAAGGCTGCAGGGTGCAGTAGCCAGGGAAAGGCGGGCCCTTCACACGGGCTCCAGGGCCAGTTCCGCACCAGGGAGTCTGGGCCACTTCAGAGACATTCTTTTTTTTTTTTCTCTTGAGATGGAGTCTTGCTCTGTCCCCCAGGCTGGAGTGCAGTGGCACGATCTCAGCTCACTGCAACCTCCGCCTCCAGGGTTCAAGCCATTCTCCCACCTCAGCCTCTCGAGCAGCTGGGATTACAGGTGCCCGCCACCACGCCGGGTTAATTTTTGTATTTTTAGTAGAGACAGGGTTTCACCATGTTGGCCAGGCTGGTCTCGAACTCCTGACCTCAGGTGGTCTGCCTGCCTCTGCCACCCAAAGTGCTGGGATCACAGGCATGAGCCACTGCACCCGGTCCAGAAACATTCTTTATACCTGAGCTCTGTGTGGATGCTCTGGGGCTCCCTGAAGATGTGACAGAGCCCTGGCCCCCTGCGAAACCAGGCTAGAGCCATGAAATGCGCAGCAGGGTGGTTGGACACTGACAGGGCCTCAGGGGCAAGAATCTGTGGAATGGGCCACAGACCCTGCGGAAGGGGACACGCCAGCAGAGAGGCTGCCCGGAGGCAGGAGAGCCCCCACGAAGAAGCTTCTGGGTAGCAGGCAACTCAGAGCAAAGACAGGATGTGTAGGAGACAGGAAGGCCTGAATATCCCCCATCTCCGGCTCCCCCAGGCTCTCGCAGTCGGGACGCCACCCTTATCGCAAGCAGCCTTGTGCCTCTGCTGCTGCTGTTCCTGGGCCTCGCCTGCTGTGCCTGCTGCTGCTGGGCCACCCGGTCAGACCTCAAGGACAGGTGAACACTAGCCCGTCCCTTCCCCACACAGCTCAGGCCATGGGGTGGGAGCAGGGAGGCATCTGGTTTCCTTTCCGGGTGGGGAGGGCTGGCCTCATCACCCACATAGGTCAGAGGTGATGGGGTGGGGAGAGCTGGCCTTGTCACCCACATAGGTCAGAGGTGATGGGGTGGGGAGGGCTGACCTTATCACCCACATAGGTCAGAGGTGATGGGGTGGGGAGAGCTGGCCTTGTTGCCCACGTGGGTCAGAGGTGATGGAGGTAGTTGGCAGTGACTGTGGCCTGGAGACACTGGAGACACCGGGTCAGCTGCCTGCCCTCCTTGGAAACCTTCGATGAGTAAGTTTCTGAGTTGCATGGGCACTGGGCTGGCAAACTGGAGCCTGCAGCGGGAGGCAGAGAGCTGACACCGGCAGGGACCAGAGGAGGAGGACTGGGACCACCGCAGGAGCAGCCCAGCTCTGGGCCAGGAGGGAAAGAGACCAGGTCTCAGATGCCCCGCAAAGGAAAGTGACATGAATGTCTGTGCAGTGGGTTAGCAGAGAATGTAGCTTCCTGGGAGGCAGAGAGCGGAGGGAGGGTTGGGCTGGTGGGGCCCGCCACAGAAGGGCTTACGCAGAGCTTTGTTCCTTTATGAAACCTCTTCACACTCCAGGCTTCTTTGAGACTCACAACAGCCTGGAGGTTTGGAACAGGGAATGTGGGGCCAGGAGTATTATTGTCCTCAATTCCCAGAGGACACGGAGGCCCGAGGTGATCCAGTTGGTTATTGGCACACAGGAAGCCCCTCTCCGCCTTTTTGGACTCTTTGTCTGGTGCTCTCTTGCTAGTTCCTGCCCTAGTCCTCCAGCACGTCCTCCTCTGTGCTTGTGTGGCATTCACAGATGAGCAGAGACAGTTGCCACTGGCCCAGGGCATAGAGCCCACGGTGGCAAGAAGCCCCTCACAGGCACACAAGGACAGGTGCAAAGGCTGTTGGAGGGACGGTGAAGAGTGGAGCAGCCTCCTCCCCATGTGGGGGCAGAGCAGAGTGGGAACAAGGGAAGGCTTCCTGGAGGGGGTGTCATTTGAGACAGGTGGGCCAGGCACAGTGGCTCACACCTGTAATCCCAGCACTTTGGGAGACCGAGGCAGGCAGATCACCTGAGGTCAGGAGTTCGAGACCAGCCTAGCCAACATGGTGAAACCCCATCTCTACTAAAAATACAAAATTAGCTGGGCATGGTGGTGGGTGCCTGTAATCCCAGCTACTCAGCAGGCTAAGGCAGGAGAATCGCTTGAACCTGGGAGGCAGAGGTTGCAGTGAGCCAAGATCGCACCATTGCACTCCAGCCTGGGCAACAAGAGCGAGACTCTATCTCAAAAATAGAGAGAGAGAGAGAGAGAGAGAGAGACAGGTGAGCTGGGGCTCAGCTAGGATGATAATAACAAAGAGCTGCATTTTGGAAAAGCCCCCACAAAACGCTTGGTACCCTGCCAGGTCCTGCAGATTAGATAGATAGATAGACAGACAGACAGACAGACAGACAGACAGACAGATAGATAGGCAGACAGGATCTGTTTTACAGATGTGGAAACTGAGGCCCAGGGAGGTGAAGTCTGAGCCAGAGTTGTTACTCAGGGCTGTCTGACTCTAGAGTCACACTTGGTTCTGTGGCAGGCCTGAATCTTGGGCTCAATCGTTTGGATTTTATTCTGCAGTCAACAGAGAGTCACTGAAGTAGAGGTCGTCACCCTGTCACACCCTGCCAAGGTGACCCAGGTCACCTTGGGTCTTATGTACTGACCACTGTCCCTGCCCTCCTCACTCAGGCCAGCAAGAGATAGAGCTACCGTGTCCAGGATGAAGATGCAGGTCTGGGGAACACTGACCAGCTTAGGCTCCACACTGCCCTGCGGTTCCCTCAGCTCCCACAAGCTACCCTGGGTGACAGGTCAGTGGGCACTGGGGGCTGCGGTCTGGGATTGGACAAGGCTTTGCATCAGGTCCCGCAGGCGCCTGATCTGGAGTCTCTACAGTTTCACATCACGACCCGGAGGTCCCCTTCAACCACAGCTTCATCGAGCCACCCTCTGCCGGCTGGGCCTCTGATGACTCCTTCTCATCCGATCCTGAGTCTGCAGAGGCAGATGAGGTTCCCGCCTACTGTGTGCCACCCCACGAAGGTAGCCCCCCAACAGCCCACATAGCCCCTGAGCAGCCCTGCCCCCCACAACTCCCTCTGTAGTCCCCCAGCGAACAGTTATTATTTATTTATTTATTTATTTATTGAGACTGGGTCTTGCTCTGTCGCCAGACTGGAGTCCAGTGGTGCAATCTCCGCTCACTGCAACCTCCGCCTCCCGGGTTCAAGTGATTCCCCTGCCTCAGCCTCCCAAGTAGCTGGGATTACAGGTGCCCGCCACCACGTCTGGCTAATTTTCCTATTTTAGTAGAGACCGGGTTTCAGCACGTTGGCCAAGATGATCTCGATCTCCTGACCTCGTGATCCGCCCGCCTCGGCCTCCGGAAGTGCTGGGATCACAGGCGTGAGCCTCCGCGCCCGGCCGGCAAACAGTTATTAAGGGCCCATTCTGTGTTAGTCACTGTTCTTGGCTCCGGGGATGCAAGAGATAACAAGACAGATTCCTATCCTCACCAAGCTTAGAGTCAGATGGGCAGTCTGACAATGACAGGACACAGTGATATGTGTCTCCATGGGGGACATACAAGGAGGGGCTCATTCGCTAGCCGTGTTGGGGTGACTGGGGTCAGGGAAGATGTGTGTGGTATCCCAGTTGAGTCTAGCAGAATCAGTAGGAGTTAACCAAGTGAAAGTCAGGGAGGGGAGGGAATGGTGTTTTAGGAAGATGGAACAGCATACACAAAGGCCCAGAGGTGAGAGGGATGTGGCTCGGTGACATCAAAATAGTTTTAGCTTGGTTAGAGTGTGACAGGATTTCAAAGTAGGGAGAGGTGGTGAGAAAAGAGTATAGAGACCAGGTGTGGTGATTCACACCTGTGATCCCAGCACTTTGGGAGGCGGAGGCAGGAGGATTGCCTGAGGCCAGGGGTTTGATACCAGCCTGGCCAACATAGTGAGACCCCATCTCTACAAAAATTTAAAAAAAAAAGAGTGTAGAAGTAACAGTGTCTACCTGAATTGGTCCTTCTGCCTCTCTCCACTTCCTTGCCCTCTTCCTTGCCCTATTTTTGAGGCCTCCTGGAAGATACTGAGCTGTGGGTAGGATGCATTGTGGTGGCCAGTTCAGCTCCAGCCAAGCTCTTCTGTCTCCTCTGCCAGGGATGGTCCCTGTGGCCCAGGCAGAGTCGTCAGAGGCCAGCCTGGCTGGAGGTGCTTTCCCGCCCCCTGAGGACGCCTCCACGCCATTCGCCATCCCGCGCACCTCCAGTCTAGCTCGGGCCAAGCGGCCATCGGTCTCCTTTGCTGAAGGTACCAAGTTTGCACCACAGAGTCGCCGAGGCTCAGGGGAGCTCTCCAGCCCGCTCCGAAAGCCCAAGAGGCTCTCCCGGGGGGCACAATCAGGTCCTGAGGGCCGGGAAGCCGAAGAGTCCACAGGCCTGGAGGAAGCAGAAACAGATGAGGCCCTTCCTGCGGCTGCCAGTCCAGGAGATTCAGCCACTGGCCACCGACGGCCCCCACTTGGTGGCCGGACAGTGGCTGAGCACGTGGAAGCCATTGAGGGCAGTGTCCAGGAGAGCTCAGGCCCTGTGACCACGGTCTACATGCTGGTGGGGACGCCCCGGGGATCTGAAGGCCCTGTCCGCTCTGTCTTCCGCCATTTTGGTGGCTTTCAGAAAGGCCAGGCAGAACCCAAGGTCAAGAGGGCCATCCCTAAGCCTCCACGCCAGGCCCTGAATCGGAAAAAGGGCAGCCCTGGCCTGGCCTCTGGCTCTGTCAGCCAGAGCCCCAACTCAGCCCCAAAAGCTGGGCTTCCTGGGGCCACAGGGCCTATGGCAGTCAGACCAGAGGAAGTGGCCCGGGGGCTGGGGGCAGGCACGGAGAGTTCAGGGAGGGCCCAGGAGCCAGTCTCTGGGGCTGGCTTCCCGAAACAGGATCCTCAGAAGCAGGCTGAAGAGGAAAGGCAGGAGGAACCTGAGTATGAGAATGTTGTACCCATCTCCAGGCCACCAGAACCCTGATGACCTTGAATTTGGGGAGTGAGGAGACTGGATGGGATCAGAGCTTCCATGGACTGGACTGTGCTGTGTGCTGGAAAATGATCCCAGGGCCCGGACAGACAGACCAGAGCCTCTGCCCCTCCACAGGGAAAAGGCAAGGCTTCCGGCCCAGGTGGCCCAGGTCCCTGGTGGTGCTCCCAGAGGGGGCCTGGAAGGCCTGGGCAGAGACCCTGCAGGATGGGGTCAGGAAGGGTTAACTGCAGTGACTTCTCCTGTGCTGTCCTGGACCCTGTGTGCCTCGTAAGGGCTATTCTTTCTTTCATGTGCAAAACATTTTTCTGAAATGACAACCTACACGTTTGCTGATAAAAGATTGGCTAAACAAATATTTCTTTTTGTTGTTGTTGTGGTTTGTTTTGTTTTGTTTTGTTTTTTTGAGACAGAGTCTCGCTCTGTCCCCCAGGCTGGAGTGCAGTGGCGCAGTCTTGGCTCACTGTAAGCTCCGCCTGCCGGGTTCACACCGTTCTCCTGCCTCAGCCTCCCAAGTAGCTGGGACTACAGGTGCCCACCACCACGCCCGGCTAATTTTTTTTTTATTTTTAGTAGAGATGGGGTTTCACCATGTTAGCCAGGATGGTCTCGATCTCCTGACCTCGTGATCCATCTGCCTCGGCCTCCCAAAGTGCTGGGATGACAGACATGAGCCACCGTGCCCGGCCTATGAACTTTGTAAAAAGGATGTATGTGCATAAAAACAGATTCAAGGGAAAGGCACTAAATGGTATTTTCCTCTGGAAGGTGAGATTGTAGGTGATATTTATTTTCTTCTGAAACTTTTGTATGGTTTGCAAATTTTCTACAGTGAACACTCTTTTTTACTTTTGTTAGTAGATAGAATTTAATAAAGTATAATAAAAAGCAATGATCTTTGTTAAAAAAATAAAAAGTACTAACATTACAGACACGTATAAAGTAAACCGCAGATTTCCCTTCTCCCCAGAAGCATCTGTGGGTCTGAATCTAAAGGAGAGAGGTAGAGTCTGCTTTTGCCTGGCAGCTTTTTGGTCTTGTTTGAATTCTTTGCTCACATATTACCTAGTCAGAAAAGAAAAGGGGCAGCTCCCCCCATGCTTTATTTATTTCTTTAAGATGGAGTCTCACTCTGTCACCCAGACTGGAGTGCAGTGGCATGATCTCGGCTCACTGCAACCTCTGCCTCCTGGGTTCAAGCAATTCTCCTGCCTCAGCCTCCGGAGTAGCTGGGATTACAAGCACCCGCCACCACACCCGGCTAATTTTTGTATTTTTTGGTGGAGACAGGGTTTCACCATGTTGGCCAGGCTGGTCTTGAACTCCCAACCTCAAGGGCTCCACCGCCTGGGCCTCCCAGAGTGTTGGAATTATGGGCATGAGCCACCACGCCTGGCCAGGGGCAGCTCCTTTTATCCCAGTGCTCAATCTCATCAACAATTGGGTGCTTTCTTTCAGATGTTTTTCTGTGTACTTGTCAACAAATATTTTAAACAAAAACAAAATGTTAGCATAGTTAGCATACTGTTCTCAGCTGCTTTTTTTTTTTTTTTTTTAGAGCTGGGGTCTTGCTCTGTTGCCCAGGCTGGAGTGCAATGGTACAATCTCGGCTCACTGCAACCTCTGCCTCCCAGGTTCAAGTGATTCTCTTGCCTCAGTCTCCTGAGTAGCTGTGATTACAGGTGTGTGTCACCACGCCTGGCTAATTTTTGTATTCTTAGTAGAGACGGGGTTTCACCATGTTGGCCAGGTAGGTCTCGAACTCCTGACCCACCTTGGTCTCCTGAAGTGCTGGGATTACAGGCGTGAGCCACCGTGGCCGGTCTCAACTTGCTTTTCTACTTAACAATATATCCTGGATATAGTTCAATGTCCATAAAATAAAGCCACCTCTCTTTTTTTTTTTTTTTGAGACTGAGTCTGGCTCTGTCGCCCAGGCTGCAGTGCAGTGACCGGATCGCAGCTCACTGCAAGCTCCGCCTCCCGGGTTTACGCCATTCTCCTGCCTCAGCCTCCCGAGTAGCTGGGACTACAGGCGCCCGCCACCTCGCCCGGCTAGTTTTTCGTATTTTCAGTAGAGACGGGGTTTCACCGTGTTAGCCAGGATGGTCTCGATCTCCTGACCTCGTGATCCGCCCGTCTCGGCCTCCCAAAGTGCTGGGATTACAGGCTTGAGCCACCGCGCCCGGCCAAGCCACCTCTCTTTTTTTTTTTTTTTTTTTTTTTGAGACGGAGTCTCGCTCTGTCCCCGGGCTGGAGTGCAGTGGCCGGATCTCAGCTCACTGCAAGCTCCGCCTCCCGGGTTTACGCCATTCTCCTGCCTCAGCCTCCCGAGTAGCTGGGACTACAGGCGCCCGCCACGTCGCCCGGCTGGCTTTTTGTATTTTTTAGTAGAGACGGGGTTTCACCCTGTTAGCCAGGATGGTCTCGATCTCCTGACCTCGTGATCCGCCCGTCTCGGCCTCCCAAAGTGCTGGGATTACAGGCTTGAGCCACCGCGCCCGGCCTGCCACCTCTCTTTATTAAAAAAAATGACTACATGAGATTCCATCTAGCACAACTATTTAAATCATTCCCCTGCCAATGGATGGTTGGGTTGTTCTGATCTGTTTTGATACAATAAACAATGACATAGCATACAACTTTGTTCATATTTATTTATTTTTTGAGACAGAGTTTCAATCTTGTTGCCCAGGCTGGAGTGCAATGGCACAATCTCAGCTCATTGCAACCTCCGCCTCCTGGGTTCAAGCGATTCTCCTGCCTCAGCCTCCTGAGTAGCTGGGATTACAGGCACCTGACACCACGCCCAGTTAATTTTGTATTTTCAGTAGAGACGATGTTTCTCCATGTTGGTCAGGCTGGTCTCGAACTCCCGACCTCAGCTGATCCACCCACCTCAGCCTCCCAAAGTGCTGGGATTACAGGCGTAAGCCACCGCGCCCGGCCCCATATTTATTTTTACATTTGTGCAAGTTTTTCTATCAAATAGATTCCTAGAAGCAGGGCTGTTGAGTTGTAGGGTAAGGGAGTTAGACACTTCTGTACTCACTCCAAATTGTCTCCAAAAATGTTGCCTGGATTTGTATATTCTCACAAATTATGGGGGAATCCATGTCCCTACACTCAATCTGATCAGATAAAAAAGGGTATCTCCTTATTCCACCTTGGTAAAAATAAAGTAACACATGCTAAAGCTTCTTTTTTTTTTTTGAGATGAAGTATCTTTCTGTTGCCCAGGCTAGAGTACAAGTACAATGGCACAATCTCGGCTCACTGCAACCTCCGCCTCCTGGGTTCAAGCAATTATCCTGCCTCAGCCTCTCAAGTAGCCAGGACTACAGGTGTGTGCCACCACGTCCAGCTAATTTTTTGTATTTTTAGTAGAGACGGGGTTTCGCCATGTTGGCCAGGTTGGTCTTTCTGACCTCAGAAAATCTGCCCACCTTGACCTCCCAAAGTGCTGGGATGACAGGCGTGAGTCACTGTGCCCAGCCACTAAAGCTTCTAAAAAGTATATATAAATTTTTTTTGGCCAGGCGCGGTGGCTCACGCCTGGGAGGCTGAGGCGGGCGGATCACGAGGTCAGGAGATCGAGACCATCCTGGCGAACACGGTGAAACCTGTCTCTACTAAAAATACAAATAAATTAGCTGGGTGTGGTGGTGCGTGCCTGTAGTCCCAGCTACTCGGGAGGCTGAGGCAGGAGAATGGTGTGAACCCGGGAGGTGGAGCTTGCAATGAGCTGAGATCGTGCCACTGCACTGCAGCCTGGGCGACAGAGTGAGACTCTCTCAAAAAAAATTTGTTTTTGTGTTTAACCATCAACAATTATATCTCGGCCGGGCGCGGTGGCTCAAGCCTGTAATCCCAGCACTTTGGGAGGCCGAGGCGGGCGGATCACAAGGTTAGGAGATCGAGACCACAGTGAAACCCCGTCTCTACTAAAAATACAAAAAATTAGCCGGGCGCGGTGGCGGGCGCCTGTAGTCCTAGCTACTCAGGAGGCTGAGGCAGGAGAATGGCGTGAACCCAGGAGGCGGAGCTTGCAGTGAGCCGAGATCGCGCCACTGCACTCCAGCCTGGGCAACAGCGTGAGACTCCGTCTCAAAAAAAAAAAAAACAAAAAAAACAATTATATCTCATTACAATTTAAATTTCTATGCGTATTCTAAGGTTGAGTTTCTTTTGTGTCTTGGCTCTCTGCAACCTCCGCCTCCCAGATTCAAGCCATTCTTGTGCCTCAGCCTCCTGAGTAGCTGGCATTATAGGCACCCACCATCACGCCCAGCTAATTTTTGTACTTTTTGTAGAGATGGGGCTTCACCATGTTGGCCAGGCTGGTCTCGAACTCCTGACCTCAGGTGATCCACCCGCCTCGGCCTCCCAAAGTGCTGGGATTCCAGGTGTGAGCCACCACGCCTGGCCTCTTGCCCCTTTTCATGAGTTCATGTTTTCATTCCACAAACTCATATTGTGCACCTGCTTTGTGCTTGCTTCTCTATCAAAGGGCTGGTTATACAAAGTTGAAGAAGACACCATTCTGCCCCCAGAGAGTTCATAGTCAATTGGAGAGGAAGACAAACAGATGAATAGTTAATTATAAAACAATGCCGGCAGTGGACAAATAAAGTGAACATTATTAATGGGGAGTGGTTAGGGAAGGCTTCCCAGAGGAGGTGCTGTCCAAAGTGAGGCTCTGTCGAGAGCTAGAGGAGAACAGCAGGTGCAGAAACCACAGGCCATGTGATTGGAACATCTGGGACCAGGCAGGTCAGATGTCCTCCAGAGACAGGGAGACGGAGGAGCCTGCGTGGGTCAAATTGGGGAACTGGAACTTTAAAATTTTGTTTATTTATTTTTTTGAGACAGAGTCTCGCTTTGTTGCCCATGCTGGAGTGCAGTGGTGCAATCTCTGCTCACCGCAACCTCTGTCTCCCTGGCTCAAGCAGTTCTCCTGCCTCAGCCTCCTGGGTAGCTGGGGTTACAGGCGGGTGCCACATCACCCAGATCTTTTTTTTTTTTCAGATGAAGTTTCGCTCTTGTTGCCCAGGCTGGAGTGCAATGGCACAATCTTGGCTCACTGCAACCTCCACCTCCCGGGTTCAAGTGATTCTCCTGCCTCAGCCTCCAGAGTAGCTGGAACTACAGGTGTGCGCCACCACGCCCACCTTATTTTTTGTATCTTTAGTAGAGACAGGGATTCACCATCTTGGCCAAGCTGGTATCAAACTCCTGACCTCATGATCCACCTGCCTCAGCCTCCCAAAGTGCTAGGATTACAGGCATGAGCCACTGCACCCAGCCTGGCCATGCTGATCTTGAACTCCTGACCTCGTGATCCACCCGCCTCAGCCT